TTTGTATTGAAAATACTGACTTTAGTGTTGGTTGACAGTTGTTTTGAGTTCCCGTTGTTCCTCAGTCGTAAATATATTGCTTTTGCTCTGCCGATCCGCGCTTTCATATCTGCATCAGATCCACCATGTTCATCAATGATGCTGCCCAAATATGTAAAGGTTTTTACATCTTCCAAATCTTCCCCGTCAATTGTGATTAGATTTGTGCACGCTGTGTAGTATCGGAGAATGTTGTTTTTCCCTTTGTGTATATTAAGACCTACTGCTGCTGAGACTGCTGCTACACTGGTTGTCTTCTTATGCATTTGTTGTTGCGTTTGCAATAGAAGAGCCAGATCATCTGCGAAGTCTAGATCGTCAAGCTGCATTATACCTGTCTACTGTATCCCATGCTTCCCTTCAGATGTTGACGTCTTCATGACCCCATATATCACCAGGAGAAAAAGAAAGGGTGAGAGTAAGCAACTTTGCCCGACACCGGTTTCTACTTCGAACGGGTCTGTCAATTGTCCTCCATGCACAATTTTGCAGTTAAATCCATCATATGAATTCCGTATGATATTGACTATCTTCTGAGGCACGCCGTAGTGTCGAAGAAGCTTCCATAGTGTTGTCCTGTTCATGCTATCAAATTCTTTCTCGTAGTCAATGAAGTTAATGTAGAGTGATGAATTCCATTCAACTGATTGTTCCACAATGATCCGTAGAGTTACGATTTGGTCTGTACAGAATCTATCCTTCGGGAATCCTGCCTGTTGGTCACGAAGTTGAGCGTCTACGCAGTCCTTCATCCTGTTTAACAATACCCTGTTAAAGACTTTTCCCGGTATTGAGAGAAGAGTGATGCCCCTGTAGTTATTACAGTTGCTGAGATCGCCTTTCTTTGGTATTTTGACCAGAGGTCCTTCTTTCCAGTCTTTTGGTACTTGTTCCTCATCCCAAATCTTATTGAAGGGAATGTGGAGTATCCTTGCAGTTGCCGCTACGTCTGCTTTCAGTGCCTGTGCTGGAATGTTGTTTGGTCCTGCTGCTTTGCCACTCTTGATTGTCTGATGGCCATGCTGATTTCTTCAATTGTTGGTGGCCAACATCGGTTGGGAGGTTCGTGTGTGCTGCTTCGATATTGGGTGGGTTCAGTGGGGCTGGTCGATTCAAGAGTTCTTTGAAGTGTTCTACCCACCTGTTTCGTTGTTCTTCAATGTTGGTGATTACCGTTCCTTCCTTGCTTTTCACTGGTCGCCCCGGTTTACGGTGATTTCCATAGTTTCTTTGTCGTGTCATACAATTGTCTCATGTTTCCTTCTTCTGCAGCCTTTTCCGCCGTCGTTGCTAAATCTTCCACATATTTACGTTTGTCGGTTCTGATGCTCCTCTTCACTTGTTTGTTTATTTCCGTGTATTCAGCTTGTGCCTTGGTTTTTTCTACCGTTGTTCGGCTGGTATTGATTGCTGCCGTCTTGTTCCTCCTTTCTTGAATCTTATCCAGTGTATCAACAGTGATCCATTCCTTGTGACCCAGAACCTCACATGTTGAGGTGACTACCTCCTTTATCACTGACCGGTTGCTCTCCATAGTACTTCCTCCTCCAATGAGTAGATCATGAAAGGCCTGGAACTTATTGCTGAGGACTATCTTGAATTTGTCGAGTTTGTCGGTATTTCGAAGAAAAGCCGTAATGAATTTTTGTGATATTGTCCGCCCCGTTATCCAGTACTTCTTGAGTTTCAATTTCATCTTGGCGACCAGCAAGTGATGATCTGGTTCTATATCAGCTCCTCTCTTGGTTCTCACGTCCTCTATAGTCCTCCTGAACGTTTTGTTGATGCAGATATGGTCGATTTGGTTTTGCGTGGTGTGATCCGGTGAAGTCCATGTGATTTTGTGAATGCGTTTATGTGGGAATATGGTGCCGCCTATGACCAGTTTATTGAAGGCACATAGATTTGCAAATCTCTCACCATTTTCGTTTCTTTCTCCCAGTCCCTGTCGTCCCGTAATGTCTTCATATCCAGTGCTGTCCAATCCAACCTTGCCATTTAAATCTCCCATCAGAATGGTGAGGTCCTTTGTTGGGCACTTCTCAATGATTGACTGCAGCCTATTGTAGAATTGATCTTTAGCGTCTTCATTGTAGTCGTTGGTAGGCGCATAGCATTGGATGATGTTCATTGAAATGCCCTCTTTCTTTGTTTTGAAGGAGGCTTTGATGATCCTTGGTCCATGAGATTCCCATCCTATAAGTGCATTTTGTGCTCGTTTGGACAGCATCAATGCAACTCCTTGTGTATGTGGGGCATTTTCTTCTTTATGGCCGGAGTATAACAGAAGCTCTCCTGAAGTTAGTCGTTGTTGTCCAACTTGTGTCCAATGTGTTTCACTGATCCCAAGCACCTCTAAGTTGTATCTCCTCATTTCTGCAGCAATTTGGAAGGCTCTCCCGGTGTCCCACATTGTACGAATATTCCATGCACCTAAATAAATAGTCGCTCTGGTTGTCAGAAGGGGCATCGGCCTCGTGACTTCTGAAGGAACTCGGCTTTTATCATGAGGCGTCATAGTTCTTCTAAATGAAGACCTGACACCCAGGGCACAGTTTAAAAGGTTTGAATAATTTTTTCTGGTTAGCGTTTTTTTAGTGAGTTAGTCTTCTACGGGATGGGGTCGCTAACCCCATGCCCAACCCTCCTCCTTTATCCGGGCTTGGGACTGGCAGGAGCCCCCGGAGGGACTTCAGGCGGACTCAAATAGACCATGAAATTACAAGGAAATAATTAGTAACATTTTTATGAACAAACTACCTTCTTCACTCCACCAAATTCAAACGAAGGGTTATGAACAGACTGTTGTTCACTTGTCATACTTTGTACAGCTTTATTCCAATAGTCTGGAGTCTGTCTATAATAATAAAGGTGAAGAAATACATAAATCATGACTAGTAAATCCTATATTCGGATACGGATGGATATGTTATGTGATTAAGGGTAATCAGTAAGATTTCCAGGAATTAAGTATTGCTCTAGTTGTCATTCACTAAAAAGAAAAAAATTGTGATTATAAAGTATTTCCTCTCTGAAGGGATAAGAATACATTGGAACGTATCTAAAAGCGAGTCATAAAATCAGCTTGGTGACTCAAATTCAAGTTTTATGAATAACACCTCAATTCAATAAACCTTTACCCATTAAGGTATAGACGTTTCAGAGGTGATCTAATGACTAATAACATCCTAAATACTCATTGACAGCCTTTTAAATACCTCAGTCCCATCGTAAACAAGACATAGCAAGACGGACTGTAGGCATGCCGTTTGCTCTTAACGAGTAGTCAAATTCCGGAATTCGTTGCCGGTTGGGGTAGCCCAAGCGACTTCGCAGGAGTCCTTAAAGAGAAAACTTGACATATTCTAAGGAAAGTATCACTATAATTTATTAATACTTTTTTCTGTTTTATCGTTAAATGTACATAGATTTTTGCGTGATGGATTCGGTGATCCACTGTTAGATACGGAAGCCGTCTAAGTGAAAGCTTCTATCTCATCCAGAACCTCTCGCACTCATTTCGTGTCTCCACTCTGAAATTGCTCCAGTGCATTCCAGTCCTTTTGAAGTAAAGGGATCACTAAATTTCCATGCACTAATTGATACCAAATAAAACTTGAATAATTATTGGAAAATTCTATTTTTGAAAATGCACTTCAAAGTTACTAGTGCAGGGTTTTGCTCTAGAGGCATTTTTGTCGTAGCCAAAGCAAGACCTTAGATCATAGAGTACTAAAACATCTAAATCTTTTCTACATAATGACGCATCTATAGGAGAATTACTTAGTTTATATGAATAATTTTCAACATGTCTCAGACTGGTTAACCCATGGAAGAGTTGCAAGTTAGTCCATTGTTATCCGTCCATCTTTGAATTTGAGTGAGATCCTGAAGTGCAAGCTCACCATTCTGTTTGAACTCTTCTCTCCAGGGCTTAACACTGCCAGCAAAAAGTGATATCTTAGAGGATGTTTGCTGGGAAAGGCCATTTATATGTACTGGAAAGTTCTTACTACCGGACACTGTTGGATTCCACTAGGACATTCTATAACCTAATAGATAAGTGATTTATACAGATTTTAAATAACTGAATATTTAGGCAGGACTTAGGCCAGTCTACCAGTGGCGACTGGATACCTATAAGGATGAGCTATTTGACAATAAATATGATCGGCCCTACCAGTTTTCGAAAAATAAAGTTACATTATATCGACCTTACGCTTAAGATGAAGGATTGCGGTCCATTTATCCACTGCAGTCATTAGGTTTGTAGTGTATGCAGTACGTAGAAGAATGTCCAGCAAATTATACATATTTGTATTCAAAATTATCTTTTATTTATGTTACTTCCAAGCGGCTAAAATTTCAAAAAAAAAACGTTGTCGCCAGTTTCTTTGTTTTATGGTAAAATTGCAGTTGTTCGCATCGTCTAAAGTTGTACTATCATATTAAGTATTCACTTCTATTTTCAACAATTCTAATATTATTATTATGGGGCTGTGGAGGTTGCTAAGGTGGTCGCGCAATTTCGTGGATTGGTCGAAGTTAGACACTAACACCGTCGAGTGCCGGTTCAGTAGTCTAGAGGTTAAGTATTCGCTCACTAGACCGAAGATCCAGAGTTCGAATCCCCCGAGCGGGACCGTAGTTGCGCACTGCTGAGGAGTCCCGTACTAGACCGTCCATTGCTTCCAGGTTTTCAATGGTGGTCTAACATCAATCGACTCATAATCTCAATCTAAAAATTCTAACATTTTCCAGTGGTACATAGCTTTCCACTTTGTTTGGATAAAGGACATGGTTTACGCAGCACCCATAAAATACCCAAGAGATATAAGCTGTGATGTGGATTTTTGTAAACTAGTTTTTAGTGGTCCCGTAATCATAAAGCACCGATTTTTTATACTTATTTTCCAGAAATAGACTTCATACATAAACCAAATGACAAACTTTGATGTAATATGAATCCCGAATGTCGAAAACCCGTTTTATTATGGGGTGTTCTTGGCGGGTTTATGACTGGGACTCTCGATTTTCTGCGAACAAGTAAAGAACGAAGGATTTTTCTACAATTTCGTCACCTTAGGTAACCTTCGTCGTGGTGTGCATGTTGGTTTAGTGTCCATAATGTTTATATCTACATGTGCTAAGTAAATCCTATTATCTAACATAACGTTACTCCAGCATAACATGCCATCATTTGAAGTTCAAGCGTAACCAAGAAAATCGGATGTCATATTTTGATTTTAAAAAGCGGTTGGATGAAGAACTAGCTCAAAAGCTTTCATTATCACAACAAAAAATATGATGAAAGACCTGCAACTAATTGTAGACTATGAATAGTAATTTGAATCATTTTTCCTATCCAAAAAACGTGTTCTAGTTTATAGATAATGGTCGTTTTGTTTTATTCTTGGTTATTGTAATTTAATGAACTGACTAGTCATTATCTATTGGGTCATGAGTTTGGACTAATCCACTCTCAAATCGACTGGTATACTTGAAACATTCGTTATCTGCTGAGTAATGCTGGTTATTGTCATATGTGGCTTATAAATGAACACATCCGCAGTTTCCATTTACTAATCATCACTATGCGAATCTAGATGTATTCATCTTTACGCTAGGAAGTTTCGGAATATTCCAAGCTTAATGTATTAACTCCAAAAAATTATGATGAAGAATATCTGTTGATAACATCTTAGTGTGGCAATAGATAGAAAAATGTAAATAAATAATATTCAGCTTTAAATAGTTAGTCAAGCGATTTATTCGTGATTTTGAAGTAATCCAGAAAATATCCCAAACTAATGTATGCTGGTTGTTAACTATCGCAGAAATATAACCGCTGTACCATTGACATATGTATTAATGACTTATTATAAAATCTCAGTAGGTATTTTCCGATCCCATATAATAGAATTATTTCCGAATTCAACAGTAAAAGATGTCTCCAACCTGCAAGGTTTTTGCATTTAATTCCAACATTCAAGATTAGTGGATATTCAGTTCTTACATTACTTTAGGAAAATATAACAGTAACGTGCCTAGTTTTGAAATATTAGTTGCTGTGTATCTGTTACCTAACTAAATGCACAATCACGGCATTGGCCAACATTCTGTGTAGAAGTTAATGATGCACCTTTGGCCCCCTAAGATAACCACCTGCTTCGCTTTGGGCACCCGGGCAGTATCACAGCCCACACACAAATGATGAACTCTCTATGTCTATGTAAGCTACTTTTCTCGCTTCGGAAAACAATCAATTGATTCAAATTATTATCATTACAATTATTGTCATTATTAATATTATTATTATTACTATTATTGTCATTATTATTATTATTTTCCACATTATTCACCCTCTTTTATACTTATACAGCGGCTCGTCTTTGATGGAAATTCGACTGTATCTAAACGTTATCGAGTCACTGTCCGGTTGAAAATTGTATGTTACCACCGAATATGAGTACTGAAGCAGTTTTTCTGAAACCACGTACACCATTCAAACTGGCTGCCTCCAAAGTTCGCACACTTATGCAGGTTGGACAACAGATAGGGCTGACCGTCTTTGGAGAGTCTTAATATCGATGTCTACTGCCTATCCGAGACCCGTATTCAAGACTCTGGTGAAGTACTACAAATTCGCCCTTCATCTGTCACTTCAAAAAGCTTGTTTTACGCGCGCTTATCCGGGGACCCTGTGGCATCTTCGTCTGGTCTTGCTGGCGTTGGTGTCGCACTAAGCGCTAGAGCTGAGGCAGCACTAGTCGATTGGATCCCCATTAACAGTCGGTTATGTGCTGTTAGATTAGAAAGTTCCATCAAAGTGAGAAGAAATCGGCGTGAGAAACGATGTCTTTTCGTCATCTCCGCCTATGCCACGATAGATTGCAGCCCGGATGCAATCAAGGATGAGTTTTACCACCAGTTATCTGTTCTTCTCCAGAAAGTGCGTTCGACAGATATTGCAGTACTAGCCGGAGACTTGAATGCTCAGGTCGGGCGTCTAGGTGGCACAGTCATCGCTGATGTGCCACCTGGCGTCCTCCCTCTGCATCTCAAGCCTGGACTCAGATTGATCACATCGCGATCAGCTACCGCTGGCGTGGTTGTGTACAAGACTGCCGCTCCTTTTGGAGTACCTATCTGGACTCTGACCATGCTTTGGTCTGTGCCAATCTTACCTTACTTTTCAATGGCCAACGAAGTGACCGTCACCAACGGATTGATGTTGGCAAGCTGGTTGCAACTTCTGTTGCAAGTAAGTATGGAACCGAGCTAGCTTCTAGGCTAGCTACCATTCCACCGAAAAGCATAGATGAGCATTGGTTGCAATAGCATGACGCCATGAAAATGGCGGGAACAGTCAGTTGTGGGTTTGCGAAACGTCCCGCTTTTAAGCACTGGGTTTCTTCAGGCTCCTTACAACTCATTGAAGCCCGTCGGTCTACTCCGGGTGACCGTGAGTTTGACCATAAACGAAGGATGTTACGTAAGGAAATTGGGCAAAGCTTACGTAAGGACCGAGAAGCCTGGTGGTCGAAGCGTGCTAATGAGCTGGAAGCAGCAGCTGCATCTGGTAACTACCGGAAGCTCTCCCAACTCATCCGAGCCACTGGCAGCAAGAAGTCTGGTGTGAGTGAAACAATCTGCGAGGATGACGGAATGCCAATCACTAAGATTAATCGACGTCTTGGACGATGGGCAGAATTTTTCGAAGGGCAGTTCAGCTGGCGTGCTGCTCCGGCAACATCGGTCAGACTGTCCTGCCCTCCATGGCCGATGACGACTGATCCACCAAACGAGGAGGAAGTCCGCAAGGAACTCCAACTCTTGAAGCGCTACAAATCACCTGGCCCAAATGACTTACCTCCGGCTCTTTTTAAAGATGGTGGTGACTTTTTGACTAAGGAATTGACGACGTTGTTTACAAAGGTTTGGGAACTAGAGAGTGTGCCAACGTCATGGAACGAGTCGATAGTTGTCCCTACGTTTAAAAAGGGTTCACGTCGTTCCTGTAGAAACTTTCGGGGGATAAGTCTACTTCCGATTGCGTCCAAGCTATTGGCTTCCATCATACTTCGTAGGTTGTTCAAAACCCTAGAAAGATTGACTGGCGAGGAGCAGGCTGGGTTTCGTTCTCACCATTCCTCTTCAATTTCGCCATCGACGACATTCTGGAGACAGCTCTGATGGGTGTAAGTAATGGCGGTGTGGATCTGTTGCCTGGAGAAAGACTTCTCGACCTTGAGTATGCGGATGATATTGTCTTACTGTGCGATAATGCCCGAGGCATGCAATCCGCACTTAATCAGTCGGCAATCAATGTCTTTATGTACAGTATGTGCTTTGCACCTTCGAAGTGCAACTACTTCTACAAGACCGACAGAATTCTAATCCTGTACTCACCTTGGGTGGTGAGCAGATAGAAGTAGTCGAGAAATTCGTGTATCTGGGTAGCTGCACAGCTGTTGGTGGTGGTGTGAGTGATGAGACCAATGCACGTATAGTGAAAGCCAGAGCGGCTTATGTCAATCTAGTCCATCTTTGGCGCCTTCGTGATGTTAGTCTGGCTGTAGAACGTCGGATCTACAACGCGTCGGTGAGAGCAGTTTTGCTCTATGCTTGTAAAACCTGGCCTCTCCGAGTTGAGGACGTTAGACTACTCTCTGTGTTCGACCATCGTTGTCTCGGAATGATTGCTGACATTCAGTGGCAACACCATGTCAGTAATGCAGAGGTTCGGCATCGTGTGTTCGAGCACAGAGATGATAATGCAATCGATGTCACCATCTTGAAACACCGACTTCGGTGGCTCGGACATTTCTACGAATGTCGTCCCAGAGAATTCCACGTCGTGCATTATTTGTCGACTCTGGGACTGGTTGGAAGAAGCGGAGAGGTGGTCAGTGCATGACATGGTGTCGTGGCATGAAAGAAATCTGCAAAGGACTGGCTTCTGTTGGTCCTTCACGACTCCCTGGTTGGGGTCTGAGAGATGGTGCTACACAGTGGCTAGAGACGTTACCAGATATGGCTCAGAATAGAAGCCAGTGGCGATCCTGCTGTAACCTTCTTTTACTTTCTTCATAAAGTGGTTGTGTCTCCTTTACCTGAAAAATTTCTTCTGATTGTACCTATCCGTTTCCTCATTATTACTACACTACCTAACACCAATCTCTCCATTATTGTTCTCTTTTTTGTTTACACTCCTTACCTTTTTTCTTTTTCCTTCTCTTTAAATTGTAATTGTTTTGTGTGGCGCATTATTGTACCAATCTTTATGTGTCCAAATAATATATAATAATAAATAATAGTACCTTTTTGATGATGGTTGTAGTAGTTCTCCAAGTTTTAACTCTGTACAGTTGACGTTCGTATTAAAGATTTCGACTTTGGTAATTAGCTGACAGTTGTTACTCATCATTACACTAACTCAAAATTTATACCTAGTATTGATAGATCTTATCATTTTTTTAAACAATGCATTGTACATTCCAGACGCTTCTGAGGTTTAAAGGTTAATGTTGTACTTGGCATTCACTTTTTGAACAGAAATTTCGAGTAACTGCTAGGGGATAATGTACGCTATATTAGTAAACTTGAAACCTCTTAATCACCCGGCAGATCCAGTAAATAAAGTTAGTGTTGTACCTAATGTCCTTCGAGAAAGACCGTAAACTAAGAACAGCATAACCGTTACGAGCTGCCAAATCCATGGCGATCTGTTCTGGACACTCAGTTTATTATTTCGACGACTTAATTCCCATTAAACCACTAACCCTGAAAATTGTCGTGTTAGATATATTTCCAATCATGGTTTTATATTGATACTAATATGCAAACTAAAACATTAAACAATGAGTAATATATGCCGGAATTTAATTTTATAGCAATTGGTGAATCGGTCGTGTCTTTCTAGGTTAACGTTATGTACACGATTTCACGAGCTGATATAGCTTTATTCCGGAAAAGTGAAGATTTTTTGAATTGTTGTTAAATAATATTGAACACAGACATTGACTGATTTAGGTTATGTAACACGGCACAAAACGGATGCTTTCAGTAGAAATTGATCAATTTTTCAACCCTAAGAAAATATATTCTCGTTGATACAAATCAAATCTTTTATTTGTAAGAGTGAACTATCATAATCATTCAACTATAAGGAACGTTGAAATTGCAGCTAATATTGAAATCCCTATCGAATAAAAAGTACGATAAGAGGGGATACTACAAACAACAATATGCAGATTAGATTGATCGATACATATATAAGATGTTTGGTTGATTAATTTTCATAGATCAAAACGAACAAAATATTGAAAATTAAGAATTCATTCAATGCACCTCGTTTATTATCAATTAAGTCTGTAAAGATATATATATATTTTTCTTAACAATTGATGTAGGTGAAACAGGAGTGAGATATCGATGCTTATTCGAAAGCTTTAATTATTTGAAGGTCTGAAATAATAAATAAGAATAATAATAGTTAAATAGTAATGAGGATTAGACTAAACAATGTTCAATTGTCTGTTTTCGAGAACTTTCATTATCAAGTAATGATTAGATGAATTATAGGAATAAACTAACCAAATAATAACAGTTTCATTGACGAACAGAACAACTTAGCTTAGGATTCATACTATCAAAATATCGTAACTTATAGTACCAGTGTTATGGAAAATATCCAAATAATTGCCAAAAAAACATCTTTTAGGTGGAGTTTTGTTCTCAGAGTTGGATGGTTTGATCAGAGAATAAAATTATCCACTTGAGTTATAAATCTTCTCCACCATTACAAAAAAAACACACCATACACAACGAAATAAATATTTTGGCTCAAGTGACAAGAAGAACTATTACTAAATGAAGAGGTTTTCACGAAAGTAAACATCTTTGATTGCTGTCATGAAAATGGTGTCACAAATGATAATTAGATGGAATAAACAAAATAGAACTGTTGAGATGAAAAAGAGGGGTTACATTTTATGTACAAAAGAGATATTTCATCATATCGTACTATACCAATTCGGTTTTGAGATTGGGGTCATTCTAAATAAATGTTGTATAGGTTCTTATTATTCCGTTGTTGATATCAAGAGTTCAATCTAATCACTATATAAGTGTATTGGTCCTTTGAATAGATACATGGATAATCAATATAAACGTATATTTGAGGTATCATTCATTCAGTGAATTCATTTGCTCACGCCGCCAATAGTCATATTTAATTGTGAATATCAGCAATGGAAAAATATAAGTTGGTGGTTACCGCAACCTAAAATAGGTGTTAGGTCATGGCCTCAGTGAATCCCACTTCTACGTATTACTTACGGTAGAGCTAACAAGATAATTATGGTCATCCCTTCACTGATGAAACTAGACCGTAGCTAGCATCTTGATGTGATGATAAGGTTTCCATATGGTAGCAACTCAATAGAGCTAATATTGTCTAGAACACGTTTCGTGCAGATCAGCTGGATAGGGGTAAGAAAAGCAGTAAATACGAGGTATAAAATGAAGATCTTACTACTCACTATTGGAGCGTGACAACATTACTTAGGGACACAGTATCTCAAACGCATACCTAAAAAAATCCCTCATTTTGGCCGGAATAGTAGTAAATTTGAAAGGTTAGAGGCACGAATATAAAAACACAGAGTTACTATGAAGTCAGTGACTGTTAACCTGAACCGTCCCCACAGTCACAGATCTTTTAGTTGAAGAAGGAATAATAACCATAATCGATGGAGGGAGAGGAATAAGACTACACGGCTCGAAATCAGTGGTAGTGGTGGTGCAATCGTGGTTAATTTTATTTCAAAATCTCAGTTGTTCTTTGAACTTCTTCTTGCTATTAGTTTACTAATAGAGCAAATACTAATTTACTCGGGTGCTTCATGTCTTGTTACATCGCTCTTTTTCTCTTTAATTTCTGATGTGGCAAATGGGACCGATACATACTTGTGTCAAGTCTTGCGATAAGGCCGATGCTAGAGCTGTAGATGCAAATTTAAACTTGAAGTCTAGATGAATACATTTTGTAAAGAGTAGTTCATAAATCGTAGTCAATCAACATAGTGTACTGAGGAGAACTAATTTTTGAAATAATAAAGCTTAATGAATTGGTAAAGACAGGTATTACTAAAACTTGCTAATACACTATACCATCATTATCTGATTATATTGGCATAAAAAGTGTGACATAAATGAGCATGCGTAAAGGCAATAAATTCCACTTCTTGTTAACTTCCAGACTAAAATAGATTTCATGCACTGCAGCACAAATACAATGTTAAACTTACTTTGCCCAATCGACTTTTAAAACAACATGGTTATGTCTAAGACCATTGACACCATAAATTGCACTTTTCGCCTCTTCCGCAGTTCTGAAGGATATAAAGGCAAATCCCTAAAAATAGAGTTAAATTAAATGAGAAAAGATGACTTAAACATTTTACAGATTGCAAAGCAATTAAATTTAACTGCAAATACATGTTTTTTTGTAATAGAGTGCTAGGTTTGAAGCTTTACGAGTTCACTTAATCTGCGAACGAGAACAAGACTCAGTGGTCAAAGACCAGTAATCTAGCTATTGATGCGTTCCAGCCCCATTACCTAGGAGAAGTCCAAGATTGGTATGGAAAATATATTCTCCAAACAGCCAGAAAACGAGCAAACCCACAAACACAATTTAAAACGTATATATACAAATATATATAATCGATATTGTCATGGGAGATTTTTAAACATTAATCAATGATTTCATCAATTGACTGCTATTTAATTACTTAATCGATATGATAAAATTACAAATATGAGTTTTGGGGATCTATTGTCCCCAACATAGAGGAACACACTTTAAATCTATTTTAGACTGTTTCATCATTCGTTATTTCCTAATATCCTTTACTTAGTATAGACGGTCTTAATTCATTTCAAAGCCATCCCTTAAGTATGCATCCAAGTTAGTAAAAAATGTGCCATAATGGTCATTTCTTTTTTTCATCTTCCGTGAGCTCGATATCGTGGTAACAACTTGTCTTTTGCCCAGTATTAGTGTCAGATTTGTTTTCTACGTTCTTATCTATTACACAATTTGAATTATGTCTAACACTGGAATTCAGAACGCGCGTTTCGTCATATTTGGGATTAGTCAGATGTACACGCATTTCAATGTTGATGTCGACATACAGATTTGAAACTTATAAAGTAAATAGTACTGGTACTTATGACACAAATGGCTATGCGAAAACAATCCGCTTAGGTAGCACATTTGCCAACAAAGACAAAATAGAAAATTCCAATCTTGAATATCAATGGCAAGATAATACAAATTCTTACTCAATATTACTGTTACCTTAGAATACAACATATGCATGATGACAATTAAAGATTCTAATTATTATTAGATTAATGGTTATACAATTGGAGACAAATAAATGATTATAATCGCTTTTGCGGTTTTCATGTTTTTCCACATGGCTAAACTGGTGTGTCATTAACTCTTCGTAATGTGCACTATTGTTTAGTGATAAAAAAGGAAACGTCAAGCGGTTACCTCGCTGATATGCATATATTGAGTTATTCTTTCCATTTCGCACAGATGTATAATTGTTTGGATGCATGGTATCACGACCCAACTATTGTAATTAGTGTTGTTAAACTCAAATATGTGTAGTTTTAGTAAACTTTGATTTTAAGAAAACTTTCATATATACTTATTGAATGTTTAGGACAACCTTTTAAAAATAATAAAAGTGGATATATACAGAAAGTGAAATAATTTACCCTGTTTTGTTGTGTCAATTTATCTTTTGCTGGATAGATGCGCACTACATGACCAAATGCACTGAACACTGATTTCAATTCATCTGCAGTTGTATCCGGTGGTAAATTAGTGACACGTACAGTGTTTTCATCGAATGGACGTTTGTCAGTTGACATACTGGACCCACTAGTATTGGCTGCATCACCACGTAATGATGGCGGTATATAACGTCCAGAACGATCATTTTGCTACAAAATGAAAGTGAACCTTTATCAGAAATATTATGGGTCAAACAGTAAGAAAACGAAAGTGGTCTATTCGGTACAATTTCCTATTGACAGTAAATGTTATATCACAAATCACTTCACAAAAACATACACACAAAATTCATAAAAGATTTAGTCTATAAGTCATAAAAAACATGACAATGTTAAACACCTAATCGATATTTTCAAACTGAAGATTTTTGCACTGAAAAAAATAAGCTTTTCCCTGCCTAACACGAAGTCTTCGGTCAACCTAGGACACTATGATTTGTCAATACGATCTTAATGCATTTCATCAAGCCAGTAGTCATTAATAATATTTCAGTTTTCTACTGAAGAAAATATTCAGTCAACCATAGGCTTCTGATTCTTAATTTCATTGATTTGCGCTAATGCTGCATGGGAACTTAAGCTGGCGTACCATTTTCTTGGCTCTGTGCTGATTACAACTGGATGTAGAATTTAGGGTTAATTTTGTTTGTCATGCAGAACATTATTATTATTATTATTATTATTATTATTATTATGCGGTGACGTTTGGTTTATAGTTTAAAATACCTTTCTGCTGTACTAACAATAACGGTTTCTGTGTAACAGCATATTTTCTCTACTCACGTCATGAACGAAACCTTTAAGTTACATGATAGGTTTGGATAAAATTAACTAGACAACCGACTAAATCCAGAAAGCACCGGATAGCTTTTTTCTTTTGGGTGTGAAACTCTTTAGTAGCTCACACTCAAGACCCAGCAAGGAACCGTACTCGGGACCTTTACAGTGAACACGTTACATCTCTATATCATCGAAGCAGTATCCAACAATCCAAATTTCGAACACCTCAATCAACTCACGATACCATTATACAAACTATAATTGACCATCAAAGATACTCAACTCATTTCGGATATTGTTGTATCCCACCATGCACGGCTTTATCACAAGGACTTTGATGATTCATTCCAGCTTGAATATTGAAGATCTACACTGATGAGTATAGTATTATTTTTTGAAATGGAAGTGTTTGTGAAGATTATTTGAATCACTCCATAACGTCATGAACTGTCTTTAAATTGAATAATCTCTACGATGCTATTTTTCGGTAATATAAATATTACAGACCATAAATATATACAGCTCTCCATACCTGAGATAAAAAAACCCAACTCCGACTTACTAATTCTTTAGCTGTTTCTTCTGTAGGTTCCGTTTTAGCACGAAGTTGTTCTTGTAACAACTGCATTGCTTCCATATCACTTTTGTACGGGCAAGTACGAGTGAAATGTCCACCTTTACAATAATTACAAACAATCACAGGTTCTCCAAGTTTTGTTTTCACATTCATCTCTTCCTGTCTCTTTTGCTCTTGTTCAGGCTGTAAGAAAAAATGAGATTAAGGAATACATGAGTAGAATTTATTAAATTGCTTCAAACCAATAAGCATTGCAATACATACGTTTTTAAGATGTGTTTATTTGCTTTATCAAGTCTACAGGATAGTGTTCGGATAGTACAACCTGGATAAATATCACCTCAAAATACAAAGAATTGATCAAACTTACGCAAAGTAGAAACTGATACGTGTGCCAGATGAATTGAAATTTATCAAAATTGTTTATAAGGTTGACTACTATGAGGAACAAGTAATTAAAAATCCTAGTAAGTAACGCGAAATCTGAAAGCTATATGGATTGTATCACACATTCCAGTCTTAAGAACTTGTCTGTAACTTTCAGTTTTAGTAGGACATTTAAGTTCGTTTGAGTAAAATATGTCTAATACTAGCCTCTACGAAAACTGAACGCTTAACTAGGGCTTGTAAGGAGCAAACTTGAGAAAAATAGGCTGGTTTCAAACCTAGACGTGGATGTGTAAAACAAATTATTCACTCGTCAGGTTTTACAACAAAGGCATACTTTCCGGCGCTCAACAATAATTGTATTCCATGACCTTAGGGTGGTGTTCAACAAGTTCTGAATCAGTCTATGATTAAAAGGCATATCAAAGAAGTACATTAACCTTGTACAGGTTCATTAACCAAGTACTACTAGTCAAGTTAGAGCTAATAGCAAACTGTCATCGGAATCGGTTACTTCAAGTGGGGTTCATCAAGGTTGTCCGATTTCCCCATCTTCAAATAACTTTGACATAGACGTGCTTTTAGAGATTACACTTCCATCGCCTGGTTTCAACGGTTGATCTTATACCTGGAGATTTACTTGGTAACTGAAAATACTTAGATGACACAGCCCTTTTTGGTGAAGACGCTGACAAAATGAGTCTTTTGACCCCCTTAAGCAACAATCCCAGAATGTTTGGGATAAGATTCTCTCCTACCAGATGCAAAATGTTGCTTCAGGACTGGGTCTAAATCAACGCCTGAACTAATGATGCGGAGTGAAAATGTCAAATATATTGACTACTTCACTTATCTTAGGGTTCTCATCAGTCTTGGTGACCTGGTGTTTGACGAAAACTCGACACGGATTCAGACAGCTCGGTTGGCTTTAGCCAACTTGCGTCACATGTGGTGTAGGCGAGATATTCGTCTGCCAAACAAAAGATGAGTTTATTTGGCAGTAGTCCGCTCCGTTCTAGTTTATGTGTGGAACATGACCATTAAGAATAGAGGATATTCATAGGGTACTACGTGCTTCAGAGCATTACTAATGTATTTTGAGACAACCGAGAGTTCTATCTCGACAGGTGATGTTCGACGTAGGAGCACAATGAAAGTAAGATAGGAGCGGTCAAACTAGAGCGTAACATCAGCCCACGAGGACACTAACTGTTGGGTTGAGCTAAGTAGGTACGTGGATAGGCAAATATTTTGCACATATTAGTTAAACCGATTTCTTTGTGGTTGTCACATGAAGATTTTTTTACTTCTTGTAGATTGGAACGATTAGCAATCGACACCAAGCAGATGGGATCACGTTCGTTTCCCAGATTCCAGCTAAAATCTCAGTCAATCTAGCTTCTAAAACTGGACTACCGTCTTTAAAATCCTCAAGAGTCAATCTATTACAAATTACTACCCTCCTTCACCTTAGATTTCTATAGCATTTGCAACCCACCGAGTTCGAAAGCTTACATCTATTTGCTATTCAGGTCTCTTCGAGATAGTGAGTAACTGAAGTGTGGCTGAAGACCAGTTGAACTGTTCCCTAAAGTATTCTGCCTATCAGTCAAATTTCCAGGATTTCAGTGAATAATAGTCTCATCTTTTACTGAGAGAGTCTCACTAACAGCCGTAAGTTTAATACCCGTTTGCTTAATATGTCTGAGCAGTTGACTAATGTTACTTATCTCAGCTGCCTTTTCCATCTCTTTTGCTTTCGCTACCCACCACTACACATTATTATTACGTAGGCTTTTTATCAACCTACATTTAAGTTGCCTCCGATCATCATCGTGTTCGGAGCCAAACGGGATGAATTTCCTAGCACCTATCAGTTAAGTAGACGCCATTGAAATCCACTGATTCCTCTTAACGTCTTGGTTTAAGTTATCAGTAAAAATCACTGTTGTCTTCACAGCTTTTTGGATATCATGCCAAGTTACCTCAAGGTGGATATCCCTTTCGTGGTTGACTAAGTTGTTTTGTATTTATTTCTGAAACACATCTAAGCTTTTTCAACATTACGTTGAACTATAAAGGCTTTTTTGCCGTGGCTGTACTGCAGGAAAATACGTGCTCGAACTAGGACATAATCCGAGTCTAAAAATGTGCTCCAAAATGAGCGATAGTCTTCTATCGAGCCGTTCAACGACGGCTAGTGGCAACATGATCTGTCTGAGCTAATCGTTAAGTCGATTGTGGGGGCCTCCATCCCAAACGATGTTTTTTACTTGTGTTTGGAGTTGGTGCTTTCTAGAAATGGATGATTATGTAAACATATTTGCAGATGACAGACGTCATTATCTGTTGGTTGAGTCGCGACATAGTAAGATCCGTCTACGTGCCTTTATATTTGGTTTAGCTTACGTACTTGCGCATTGAAATCAGCTGCCACTATTAATACATCAGTGTTTAGATTTTTGAAGGAGGTTGGATAGCTTCCCATAAAGTTTATCGTTAACTTCATTTGAGTTGCTATAAGCGGGGGTGCAGGCAAAGACAAGAAAAATCCTACGGCGTGTGTCCCTATCTTTTCGATTTCCTATTGTCTCGTTTAGTCAGACAGTTCAAAACCGATTATCTATTACGATCCAGTCTACGAGGCCCAGTTCTGCTTTGAACTTAGTGCTATACTGACACTAACAAGGCCACAGGAAGTAACAGTTAAAGTCTCAAGATACACAAAGGGTATATCGTACTGTTTTTTTTCTTTTCCCGACTGTTAGCGGGACATAGACTAGATTAAAGCATGCTCAATGCATGATTGCTTTGGTGCACGCTGATTGGCTGATTCTTATCCAATCAGCACTAGTCGATAGTCGGAGAATATTCTGGGATCTTCTTATGTAAAAACTATAAATATACCGACGTTTTCCCCTATTGTGCTTCCTACTGGCTTCTGACTTGCTATTTGGAATATAATCTCTTTCTTGTTCAACCGTGTTCTGATTTGGGGACTTGTCGAGTGAATCGGTGTCCGAGAATACTAAGCAACAGGAATAGCTGGGTCATTAACCTGTAAGAAATCAGAGTTATAACAGTGGCGACGGGGAAAAACTAAAGAAAAATGGCGATTTCTTTAGAACAGTTGCGGTTAATATTACAGCACCAGCAGAAGTTGTTAGCCTTGCAACAACAACTATTGAGCACACTTTTCACTCGACCAGAAAATAAGAAATCTGTTTATGATGCAGTAACAGACATTTCAGAAGCATATCTAGTGGAGGGTTCAAATCCCTTTATACCTGAATCAGAACGTAATATTTGTAACGTTTCCGGCTCACAGCAAGAAAATCCTGTGCTGAATGCTCATAAAGTTGTGGCAATACAAGATTATCAAGAGTCAGACCCTGTAGATGAAGCCCGGAGTCCAGAATTGAATGAAGCACTACTGGTCCTGTCTAGTTCTGAAAATAACTTTCAGCTAGAACAAATTTATGGTCCACGTGATATTAACCAAGAAAGCTATGGGGACTCGTATTCAGAAAATAACTGCAGTGACACAACGAACCCAATTATACCGAATGTTACTCAAAATCATTGTGAGACAGAAACTTATATTGAATCAGCTTATCCGGTTTCTAATGACAATGTATCAGACATGGGTTCTCAGAACAATGCATGTTATTTTGATGAAATTTCTCATAAAAATCAGGAAAATATATCAGCTGAGTCAAATTATGGTCAAAAGTCTAATTTAATTTTGTTAGATGATAATTTCCGTAATGATCCATTATCCACTGATGAAATTCCTAATGGATTTGAAAGTAATGCTTCAGAAGAATTGAAATTTGACCTCAAATCAAAGGTCGTTCATCATCATCTAGTCATTTTTAGTGGATTCTCCAGTCAATACGAGAAACATGGTTTAAATAAAGTCCTACTAGTTGTAATTTGGAGCCATAAGGACCCAACATTATTTTGAGGAGGAGGAGAATTAAAAGTTATGCATACTTTTTTTTTAAAAAAAATCGAAACGCCGGGAACAGACACGTCAGTCTCTGTGCAAGAAAAAAGTGATAATTCTTTATTGCTTAGACGATGGACTAATCGAGAGCACAAGCCAGTCACTCAGTTGCAGTTGGACCCTAGCACCAGATCCTACGAATCTGCTCAGAGGGGAGGTGTTAGCGGGACATAGACTAGATTAAAGCATGCTCAATGCATGATTGCTTTGGTGCACGCTGATTGGCTGATTCTTATCCAATCAGCACTAGTCGATAGTCGGAGAATATTCTGGGATCTTCTTATGTAAAAACTATAAATATACCGACGTTTTCCCCTATTGTGCTTCCTACTGGCTTCTGACTTGCTATTTGGAATATAATCTCTTTCTTGTTCAACCGTGTTCTGATTTGGGGACTTGTCGAGTGAATCGGTGTCCGAGAATACTAAGCAACAGGAATAGCTGGGTCATTAACCTGTAAGAAATCAGAGTTATAACACCGACCGAAGCTGCTACCTTGACGCGGTGGTCGGGCTTGCCTATCGTGATGACCCAACCGGGCTATATTGGCTGGAACATATGTTCCTGCAGGTTCTACCATGCCAGGCAGGTCGATTGGAGAACGGTAAGACTAAAAGCAGTAACTCACGGTCTGAGGGCGAAGTCGTACTGCTGACTGTACAGAGGTGTGACAGCAGTAAGGTGTTTCCCTCGGACAACCAGCATGACAGCGATGCTGCCTTCCCACAAGGAGGGGTGGGGTTAGAAAAGGTCGACCCTAAAAACGTCACACCTCACCTTACCTCACGGATTTCCGTCTCCAGCGGTAAGGCCCTTTGAAGAACGGAGCTAACAGATTAAAAACCTTCCACGAAAAGGCCGTGCGCGATCGGCCTCAAACAGTTGTCCCTTGGGCTCTGCGGTCACGCTCCCAGGTCGTTAAGGCCGACATTAATCCGAATTGCTTTTCAGGTTCCTCCATGGTGTGGGCAGCCGGGAAGTGACATCAGCCCTCATACCCGTAACAGCACACGAGACCAAGGTGGTCACATTCAAATCCTTCCTACACCTCCTAATACCTCTCTTATCTCCATGACTAACCCTCCTCACGTCTCTTTATCACCTCGCACCGCTAGGGCAAACGATTCGAGTACGTGGAACGCCATTCCTGGTCTCCAGAAACCACGCTCTAAACTACACATAGGAGATTTTAACGTCCGAACACTGTGCCAAATAGGACAGCGGGCTTCCTTAGCTAGGACTTTAGAATCCTGCGCCATCGATGTGTGCTGCGTCTCAGAAACGCGCATACAGGATCTGAATAGCGTCATTCATTTCAGCTCACCATGCAAAAATAAGGAACCGACTCGATTCACACTTCGTGTATCTGTTCCTTGCAAATACTAACTTTAAGCATAAGGAAAAACATCTTTGAACATGGAGACCCCCTAATTCGTCCCAACGTTGGACCCAAATAGATCACATCGCTATCAGCCACCAATGGAGGGGCTAGATAGAACACTGTCGCTCATTCTAGGGCACAGGCTTAGATTCAGATCATGCTCTAGTGCGAGCGCGTATCTGTCTGCGTCTTACTGGACGTAGGAAAGATCCTGCAAGGAAACCTCTTAGGGCCCTACTTAATGATAGTCAAGCTAAGAATATATTTCAGGAACAACTAGGAAAACAGTTAGGCAGCCATGTATGTGATGCCCACCCCGATGCAGCATGGAATGATATCGGAAAAACTGTGGAAACAGCAGTGATATCTGCTAGTACGGTAAACCATAAGGTTAGGGAGCAACACTGGATCTCAGCAGCATCTACCGCACTGATAGATGCTCGGAAACTCATTCCATCTGACTCTGAACATAATAAACATAATAAACGTAATAAACCCGGGTAATAACGGTCGTTAAAGCTGAGGGTGTTTGTTGTCATTGATTTGATAATACGGAAAGTCAGAAAAAACATGACTTCAAAATTATTACTAATTCATCTAAACAGTATAGTAAGGTCACATCTGGTCTTTTAACGTAATAAGGGGTACACACATGACAACTAAAGCTCCACTATTAATTGGGTCATTTTAATTGCAAACTTTCAAATCTTTCATCTTAGCCTACAATCTTTCTGAATACAGAGACTAGACTCTTGTGTACAGTACCCCAACTTTCCGCGTCAGCTTAAGCGCAAGCTGACAAGAAGTCTACGCAATGATCGTGAACAGTGGTGGGTAGCGAAAGCAAGAGAGATGGAAAAGGCAGCGGCAATAGGTAATAGCAGACAATTGTTTAGACTCGTTAAGGAAACCGGAATTAGGAACCCGACCGTTAGCGAAACAATCTCAGAGAAAGATGGACATATTATTCATTCTCAATCCAGAAGATTGGATCGATGGGCAGAACACTTCAGGAATCAGTTCAACTGACCTTCAGCCACACTTCGGTTTCCCACGATCTCTATTCAACCTGAATGGCAAGTTAATGTAAGTCCTCCGTCCCTTTACGAAGTTGAAAAAGCCATAGGAAATCTGAAACGAGGGAGAGCAGCAGGCCCTGACAGGTTTACTCCTGAGATTTTTAAGGATGGTGGTCCAGTATTAGCAATGAGATTAACTGAGGTCTTAGGTAGAATTTGGGAACTGGACGTAATCCCATCTGACTGGTCTCAATCACTTATTGTGCCAGTTTTTAAGAAAGGACAAAAGTCCTCTTGTGACAATCACAGAGAAATCAGTTTGACTAATATAGTGTCTAAAATATTAGCTTCAATAATACTTCGACGCCTATTCAAAGCTCGTGAAGAGCAGACTAGAGAAAACCAGGCTGGTTTTCGACCTGGACGTGGTCGTATAGATCAGATATTCACACTACGTCAGGTTCTAGAACAGAGACACACATTCAGACGCCCCACAATCGTAGTATTTCTCGACCTTAAGGCGGCATTCGACTCTGTTGATCGTAAGGTTTTATGGCAGTGTTTGTCACTGAAAGGAGTACCAAAGAAGTACATTAACTTTATACAGGCTCTCTACTCGAACACAACTGGTAGAGTGAGAGCTTATGGCGAACTGTCATCAGAATTGATTACCTCAAGTGGTGTTCGTCAGGGCTGTCCACTCTCCCCATTCTTGTTCAACTTTGTCATTGACGGACTTTAAGAGATAACACTCTCCTCATCTAAATTTCCAAGGGTTGAACTTTTACCGGGAGGTTCACTTGTTGACTTAGAATATGCAGAGTCTTCTGACCACTCTAAGCAACAATGCAAGCATGTTCGGGATGCGATTCTCCCCCTCGAAATGCAAAATGTTGCTTCAGGATTGGGTTGCATTGACACCCGAACTAATGATAGGGAGTTAAGTAATTGAGCGTGTCGATCGCTTCACTTATCTTGTAAGTCTCATCAGCCCTTGTGGTGTGGTGTGTGACGAAATCTCAGCACGGATACAGAAGGCTCGACTAGCTTTCCCAACTTGCGTCATTTATGGCGTAGGCGAGATATCCGTCTATCAACCAAAGGACGTGTTTACTGCGCAGCAGTTCGTTCCGCCCTTCTTTATGGCAGTGAAACATGGCCGGTAAGAGTAGAGGATATCCGTAGGTTACTAGTATTCGATCATAGGTGTCTCCGAAACATTGCTCGTATATCATGGGACCATCGAGTAAGTAACACAGTTGTTAGGAAACGGGTACTATGTAAGGATGGCAAATCAATTGATGACGTAGTGAAACTTCATCAGTTGAGATGGCTGGGACACGTGTTACGTATGCCCAACCACCGACTGCCTCGACGTGCTATGTTCAGTGGTATAGGAGTAGGTTGGAAGAAAGCTAGAGGCGGCCAGACCAAAACATGGCACAAGTCCATGAAGTCACTGACAAGTGGACTGAGCCATGTCGGTAGGTTTAGACTACCTGGTTGGGGACCGCGAGATGATAGCAACCGTTGGTTAGAGACCCTGAATGACATGGCTCAAAATCGTTTGCAATGGCGCATGTGCATACACTCTTTGTGTTCTCCCAAATTTTGATCTCCTTATTCCTCCTTGTCTCTTTTTTTCTCCTCTCAAATTTATTTCACTGTATTATACTCTTTAAATAACATCTCCAGACCCTAATTTTCCTGATTACTGCTTATACTCTTATTACCTCTACCACTACGGGATTTGAATTGACCACTGCATCTCTATGCTAATGTGGTGTAGCAACTCGAACTGATTTACGTACGCACGAAGTTCTACGTTGTTACTGACTGACTGACTGATGTACTGGTTTTTTAGATTGATAAGGTAAGGTCAGACTAATAACTGTACTTGGATCCTGTATGTGCGTCTCGGGGATGCAGCATAGATCTAAGGCGCGAGGTTCTAGAGTTTAGCTGAAGAAACCTGTTGTCCCATCTGACACAAGGTTTGAACATCAAAAGCTCCAACATGTAGTTTAGAGCGTAGTTTCAAAAGATCAAGAATAACATTTCGTGAACTAAAAGCATTAGTGGCACGTCATGATAAAGATATACGAGGATGATTAGTTGTGGGATGCAAGAATTATTATGGGTTGAGATAAGGATTCAATCGTCAACAAGATAATTCCGAGTGCTATTAAAGGTATGAAGACGGTGGTTAGTTTTCCTACCGTCAAAGAATACTTTTTCTTGAGGGATCTGATAAAGAAGCTGGATTAGTGGAGGTCTTAGTGACCTGGAAGTGTGAGCGCAATGCCCAAGGGACAACTGCTTGGGACCGGTCGCGCACGACCTTTTTATGGGAAGTTTATAATGTGTTGGATTCACACTTCAAAACGCTTTATCGACGAAGATGAAAATCCATGGGGTAAGGTGGGGTGTGACATTTTTATGATCGACCTTTCTAACTCTTTCTTTCCGTTGTGAGGAGACAGCATCGCTGCAGATGCTAGTTGTCTAAGGGAAACACCTGACCTCTATTACACCTCTCTGTAACCATCAACACGAGTTTGCCCTCGGACCTTAAGTTGCTGGTTTTAGTCTCCAGCCGGCTTCCATGGCATTACAGGACCTAAAGGAACGTGTTACAGTTAAAAAAGCTCGGTTGGGTTATCAGGATAGGCAAGCACGATCATCACGTTAATGTATCAGGTACTATTGGTGCTGTTGCTAATTCTACTACGATGGGATTTACATTGATAGTTCATCTCGATATGCTAACTTGGTATAACAACTACATCCAACACTCATGTCTTAGGTTTTACGTCACATATGACTAACTTCAGACAGTCAAATGATTGACATCTCATCTGTAGTATGTGGCAAGTTTTTAAACAACAAATAAATGGTAAATGAACAAAAATATACACATGCCTGTCTTGATTGAACAATTTGCATGGTAACTATATCGGCTGGGTAAGTATTGGCTAAATTTCCGCCAGATGGATCAGATTTTGAAGCGCCAAACTTTTTCCATTTTTTTCTGTCCGCTACTCGTGAAGCAACAACTCGTTTTTCTCTTTGATATTCTTTAGTTTCCTTGATCAAATCACCGTCTTCATTGAAGAAATATCGTACGACAGTTTTAATGTTACGTTCTGAATCGAACTTTTCTTCAACAGGGGGTAATTCTGAATCTTCGGTTAACTCATCTGTCCAGCTGAATATAGGCGGGTCGTAGGAAAACGTCAAGGTGAATAAGTTAATAAATATTGACTTTTCGTCAGTTCTCGTCACACTGACCCACCAAAAAATCTTACGAAATTATTTAAGCATTCAAACTTCTAATTTTGTATAGTAACTTACAATTTCCTGGAATACTGGTTATTACGTTATTGTTCGACTTTTTTATATCCATCAAGTGAATAATTACCTTTCATGCACTTATTTTTACGTTGTTTTTTCTAACCTCTCAACTGTTAGTCAATCCTCTTGTGACACTTTACATCTCTAAACATTTTGAGGTGTGATCACTTTCCAAATAAATTATAAATATGATTGGACAGTTTTAATATGCAACACTATTGAAAAAGAAAGTTTTCGCTAAATTTTCTTTATTCCTTCTTAGAAAACAAAACAATAATTTTCATGTACACTGGAAAGTGGAAAAACTCATCAAAATGGACTTCTAGTATGCTCACAGGGGAGAAACAGGGAATAATTATGCAAACTATTCCATGCATCCTAGTCCTTCATAAACAAAGCAGAACCTGAGACCTGTCGATTAGTCCGATTTCCCAAGCCAAGTCAACATAGGGATGGGGGTGGAATTTTTAAGATGAAAAATGTAGCAAAAGTATCAGCTGTTGCCAAAAATTAAGGATGAAGAACAAGAATCAAGAAAGAATAAAGTAGCGGGATAAAAAATGTGAACACTTGAAATCTAAAGAAAGACGTAGTGAATAAATCTGCACTATTTATATTGATTTTGAGCCGTGCCACCCAACAGCTTCAAAAGGCAGCGACAGAAACCATACGGACCGCAACTAGGCAGTCCGCACTAACCAACATGGTTGAGACAAACAGTTGATGGTCCCACAAAGTGATGCTGAGTTTCAGTTTGGTCGTTCTACTTTTAAGCTAGTTAACATTGGGTTTCGGCGTATGCGGTGGTTGGGTATATGCAATACGTATCCCAGCTACCTGTCTATGACGATTTACAATCTTATTGACCGGTATACTATTTATGCTTAGTACCCTGTTTCTAACCTCAATATTGCTCACATGGAGTTCCGAACACTTCTGGAAAATACTTCGAAGAAATGTTAAAGACTGTATGCAGCACTTCGTAACTTCGGTGTTTGTCGAATTCCAGCAACACTTAGTTTAGAGTAATGAGGCCACCAAATGCCGTGGTACGGTCGATGATGGAGAGAGTCACCTCTCCCTTTAGAAATGCTCTCATATGGCCAGGAAAGTATTATTCACTACCTAATCGTGGTAGGGGTTGTTTGCGAGGTTAAGAGAATGTCCGGAGCTTTAACCAGGTTGGTGGATATGGAGGATTCACCTAGGGCAGTTGGAAAACCCTGATTCCAAACCATTGGTTTACATGGGCTTTAGGATACTGAGGAAACAAACGACGTATGAACCTATTGTTGGTCACCGGCTACCATGGGACTCAGCTCATAATATTGCTTCGCTGCCTCGTGGATTAGATCTTAAGGTTAAAGGCTCGAGGAATAGCCCCCTAAGAAAACAACCTGCTTCGGTTTGAGCGACCAGGTAGTATGCTGGCTCTTATACAAATAGAATGATTTGTATGACCCACATATATTTGATGCCTCCTTGTATCAGTGTTCATGTTTTAATAAATAAATAGTGTAACAAGGCAAAATAAGTATTTTCAAAAGATACCCAAATGATAATGTTCCTTTAAAGGAGACTACTCATTAATGACTAAAAATCTAAGAAAGAGTCTGGATTAAAACCTGTCCAGACATAAACTAGTCGACACAATTGTTATATCTGATTTCGTAAAGCATGTAGAGGATGCAATTATATATCATTCAGTATAGCCCTTCTTATTACTTGACGTGATTGTCTAATTATCATAGAAATACATCTAGTCTCGAGTATATTTATTTATTTTAACACATAGATATTGGTACAAGGAGGCACCAAGTACATATGCGCCACACAAATCTCATTCGACATCTGTGAGGGCTGTGATACTGCCCGGGTACCCAGACCGAGTATATGCCATTACTTGGTAGGCGATTACACGTTACTTTCCTCAACATTTACACTGCTATCGGTGACTGTTTGTGCACGGATTCAGAAAGCTCCTTTGGCTTTTGCCAACTTACTTCATCTACGGTGAAGGCCAGATATACGTCTATCAAATGAGGGACGAATACACTGTTTAGCAGTTCGTTCTGTTCTACTTTACGGCTGCGAAACGTGGTCATCAAGAGTAGATATTCGTAAGCTCAGTCAGTCAGTCAGTCAGTAACAACGTAGAACTTCGTACGTACGTACATCAGTTCGAGTTGCCACACCACATTAGCACAGAGATGCACTTGTCGATTCAAATCCCGTAGTGATAGAGGTAATAAGAGTATAAGCAGTAATCGCAGTCAGTCAGTCAGCTACAACGTAGGACCAGGCACATATGTGCATCGGTCCAGGTTGCCATACCTCATTAGCACAACAAGATGAACACCGGATTCATAGGAGTGGTTAGGTCAAAGGTTGCAATAAGGATATAGTATAGGAAGGAAGAATTAGTTCGTAGAAAGAAAGATATGAAGTGATTTTAATCTCTTAGTTTAAGGCAAGACAGGGAGTGTATACACCGACGCCATTGTGATCGATTCTGAGCCATGTCACCAAGAGTCTCCAACCATTGGTTACGATAGTCACGCGGACCCCAACCAAGTAGTCTGCATCTACCAACATGGCTCAGACTAGAAGTTAGTGACTTCAAGCACTGATGCCACGTTTTGGTTTGGCCGCCCCTAACTTTCTTCCAACCAACCCCTACACCGGTTAGTATTGCACGTCGTGGTAATCGGTGTTCAGGCATACGTAATACGTGGCCCAACCATCTCAGTCGATGAAGATTCATAACCTCATCAACTGATTTACCATCATTCCCTAATACCCTGCGTCTAACCTCACTATTACTTACCCGGTGATCCCAGCAGATGCCAGCAATATTTCTAAGGCATCTGTGGTCAAATACTTGTAGCTTACGGGTGTCTTCTACTCTTAAAGGCCATGTTTCGCTGCCGTAAAGTAAGACAGAACGGACTGCCGCGCAGTAAACTCGTCCTTTAATTGATAGACGGATATCTCGCCTCCGCCAAAGGTGACGTAAGTTGGCAAAAGCCAAACGAGCTTTTCGAATCCGTGCTGAGATTTCGTCAGACACCAACCCATTAGGGCTGATCAGACTTCCAAGATAAGTGAAGTTGTCGACGCGTTCGACTACTTCACTCCCTATCCTTAGTTCAGGTGTTGACGCAGACCAGTCCTGAAGCAACAACTTGCATTTAGAGGGAGAGAAGCGCATCCTAAACATTCTGGCATTGTTGCTTAGTGCTACCAGAAGACTCTGCATTTTGTCAGCGTCTTCACCAAACAGGACTATATCATCTGCGTATTCTAAGTCGATAAGTGGACCTCCTGGAAGGAGATCAATACCCGAGAATTCAGTCGACGAGAGTGTTATTTCCATCAATAGGTCTATGATGAAGTTAAACAGAAATGGAGAAAGTGGACAGCCTTGACGGACACCACTTGAAGTTGCAAAAGTAGATGACAGTTCGCCATAAGCTCTGACTCGACTAGTAGTGTTCGAGTAAAGAGCCTTCACAAGGTTTATGTACTTCTGAGGTACGCCTTTCAATGACAGACACTGCCACAGAGTCTCGCGGTCTACAGAGTCAAACGCTGCTTTTAAGTCAAGAAAGACCACCATCGTCGGACGCCGATAGGTATGCCTGTGTTCTAGAACCTGACGAATGGTGAATATGTGGTCGATGCAGCCACGACCAGGTCTAAAGCCAGCTTGGTTCTCTCGAGTTTGTAGTTCACGAGTCTTAGTTAGGCGTCTGATAATTATCGAGGCCAGTATTTTAGATACTATGTTTGTTAAACTAATCCCTCTGTGGTTGTCACAGGATGATTTTGACCCTTTCTTATATATTGGGACGATAAGTGATTGCGACCAGTCAGATGGGATAAAGTCTAATTCCCAGATCTTAGCTAAAATATTAGTCAACCTAATCGCTAAAATTGGACCACCATCCTTAAAGACCTCTGGAGCCAATCCATCTGGACCAGCTGCCCTTCCTCGTTTCAGATTAACTATAGCCTTTTGAACTTCAGCAAGAGTTGGGGGACCTACTTCAATGTTCCATTCACATTGTCTGGGAATGGAGGGTAGTTGTAGAGTAGCTGAAGGCCAGCTGAACTGTTCTCTAAAATGTTCCGCCCATCGTTCTAAACGTCTGGACTGGGAGCAGATGAGAGTATCATCTTTTTCCGAAATAATCTCACTTACACTTGACTTATTAATTCCAGTTTCTTTTATTAGTCTGTAAAGCTGTCTTGTGTTCCCTATAGTCGCCGCCTTTTCCATCTCTTTTGCTTTCGTTACCCACCACTGCTCACGGTCGTTTCTTAGACTTTTTCTTAACCTAGATCTGATTTGTTTTCGCTCTTCATCATGTTCAGAACCTGATGGGACGAGTTTGCGAGAATCCATCAGTGTGACAGACCTTGAAGAAATCCACTGGTTCCTTGCAACTCTGTGGTTTAAGTCACTAATAGATGTCACTGCTGTTTCCACAGCTGATTGTATGCTCTTCCAAGCAACATCTGGGTCAGCCTCGTCTTCACAACTACCTAAGTGTGACCTCAGTTGTTCCTGGAACCTACTTTTGGTTTTCTCGTTACTCAACTCAGTTCTAACGGGTCTTTTTAATGTGGCTTTTTTGCGTCCAGTGAGGCGCAAGCAGATGCGTGCCCGTATTAGGGCATGGTCGGAGTCCAAGCAGGTACTCCAGAATGAGCGACAATCTTCTACCGACCCTCTCCAACGATGACTGATGGCAATATGGTCTATTTGAGTCCATCGTTGGTTTGGTGTAGGGGGTCGCCATGTTAGACGATGTCTCTCCTTATGCTTAAAATTTGTATTTGCTAAAAATAAACGATTGTCTGAGCATAGCTGCAGCAGACGATCACCGTTATCTGTTCGCTGTGTCGGAATACTAAAATATCCACCTAAATGCCTTTCTGTTTGGTTTAAGCTACCTATCTGAGCATTAAAATCACCCGCTACGAGTACTATGTCTGAGCGTTTAGCTTTCTGAAGAAGTTCAGAAAGCTTTCTGTAAAATTCATCTTTTACTTCATCTGAGCTGCAGTCAGTGGGAGCGTAGACAGAAACGACAAAAAGGTAACGACGTGTGTCCCTATCCTTCCGAGTTCTTACGTAGCCGTTCAGCCGAACAGCACATAGACGACTGTTGACGGGGATCCACTCTAGCAGTGCTTGTTCGGCCCTCATGCTTAGTGCTATGCCTACACCTGCCAGTCCACGAGAACTGGCCATCGGGTCACCAGATACACGGAGGGTGTATCTCGTTGGCTCTCCGTTCTGCCGAGGTGAGGTCAAGTGAATGACCACACTGGGATCCTGTATGCGTGTTTCAGAGACACAGCATACATCAATGGAAAGAGACTCTAGGGTTTTAGCCAAGGAAGCCTGCTGACCGATTTGACATAGAGTGCGTACGTTGAAAGCTCCAATGTGTAGTTTGGAGCGAGGTTTCAGTAGACCTGGGACAGAGTTTTGAGCACTAGAATCGTTGGCTATGGTGACACTTGAGGAAGAAGCCGAAGGAGGAAGTTTAGGGTTGAAAGTCGATGTGGGAGGAATAATAGGAATTGAAGAGGAAGGTTGATTATGAATACAGTGGTCTTGGGTGCTGTTAGAGGTATGAGGGCGGCTATCACTTCCCGGTTGCCCACACCGTGGAAGGGTTCTTCTGGAGGTACCTGAAAAGGAAATCGGATTAGAGGTGGTCTCAGTGACCTGAGAGCGTGACCGCAGTGCCCAAGGGACAGCTGCTTGAGGCCGGTCGCGCACGGCCTTTTCGTGGAAGGTTTTCGACGTGTTAGCTCCGTTCTTCAAAGGGCCTTACCGCCGGAGACGGAAATCCGTGAGGTAAGGTGAGGTGTGCATTTTTAGGGTCGACCTTTTCTAACCCCACCCCTCCTTGTGGGAAGGCAGCATCGCTGTCATGCTGGTTGTCTGAAGGAAACACCTTACTGCTGTCACACCTCTGTACAGTCAGCAGTACGACTTCGCCTTCGGACCTTGGGTTTGTTGCTTTTAGTCTTACCGCTCTTCAACCGACCTGTCTGACATGGTAGGACCTTGAGGAACGGTTGTTCCAGTCAGTATAGCTCGGTTGCTTCATCACGATAGGCAAGCCCGACCACCACGTCAAGGTAGCAACAACGGTCGGGAAGCAGTAATCGGGAAGATTAGGGTTTGGAGATGTTATTTAAAGAGTATAATCCAGTGAAAGAAATTTGGAAAGAGGAAAAAAGGGACATGAAGAATTCAGAAGATTAGAGTTTGGGAGAACACAGAGGGTGGATGCACCTGCGCCATTGCAAACGATTTTGAGCCATGTCATTCAGGGTCTCTAACCATCGGTTGCTGTCATCTCGAGGTCCCCAACCAGGTAGTCTACACCTACCAACATGGCTCAGTTCACTTGTCACTGACTTCATGGACTTGTGCCATGTTTTGGTTTGGCCGTCCCTAGCTTTCTTCCAACCTACTCCTATACCACTGAACATAGCACGTCGAGGCAGTCGGTCGTTGGGCATACGTAACACGTGTCCCAGCCATCTCAACTGATGAAGTTTCACTACGTCATCAATTGATTTGCCATCCTTACATAGTACCCGTTTCCTAACAACTGTGTTACTTACTCGATGGTCCCATGATATACGAGCAATGTTTCGGAGACACCTATGATCGAATACTAGTAACCTACGGATATCCTCTACTCTTACCGGCCATGTTTCACTGCCATAAAGAAGGGCGGAACGAACTGCTGCGCAGTAAACACGTCCTTTGGTTGATAGACGGATATCTCGCCTACGCCATAAATGACGCAAGTTGGGAAAGCTAGTCGAGCCTTCTGTATCCGTGCTGAGATTTCGTCACACACCACACCACAAGGGCTGATGAGACTTACAAGATAAGTGAAGCGATCGACACGCTCAATTACTTAACTCCCTATCATTAGTTCGGGTGTCAATGCAACCCAATCCTGAAGCAACATTTTGCATTTCGAGGGGGAGAATCGCATCCCGAACATGCTTGCATTGTTGCTTAGAGTGGTCAGAAGACTCTGCATATTCTAAGTCAACAAGTGAACCTCCCGGTAAAAGTTCAACCCTTGGAAATTTAGATGAGGAGAGTGTTATCTCTTAAAGTCCGTCAATGACAAAGTTGAACAAGAATGGGGAGAGTGGACAGCCCTGACGAACACCACTTGAGGTAATCAATTCTGATGACAGTTCGCCATAAGCTCTCACTCTACCAGTTGTGTTCGAGTAGAGAGCCTGTATAAAGTTAATGTACTTCTTTGGTACTCCTTTCAGTGACAAACACTGCCATAAAACCTTACGATCAACAGAGTCGAATGCCGCCTTAAGGTCGAGAAATACTACGATTGTGGGGCGTCTGAATGTGTGTCTCTGTTCTAGAACCTGACGTAGTGTGAATATCTGATCTATACGACCACGTCCAGGTCGAAAACCAGCCTGGTTTTCTCTAGTCTGCTCTTCACGAGCTTTGAATAGGCGTCGAAGTATTATTGAAGCTAATATTTTAGACACTATATTAGTCAAACTGATTTCTCTGTGATTGTCACAAGAGGACTTTTGTCCTTTCTTAAAAACTGGCACAATAAGTGATTGAGACCAGTCAGATGGGATTACGTCCAGTTCCCAAATTCTACCTAAGACCTCAGTTAATCTCATTGCTAATACTGGACCACCATCCTTAAAAATCTCAGGAGTAAACCTGTCAGGGCCTGCTGCTCTCCCTCGTTTCAGATTTCCTATGGCTTTTTCAACTTCGTAAAGGGACGGAGGACTTACATTAACTTGCCATTCAGGTTGAATAGAGATCGTGGGAAACCGAAGTGTGGCTGAAGGTCAGTTGAACTGATTCCTGAAGTGTTCTGCCCATCGATCCAATCTTCTGGATTGAGAATGAATAATATGTCCATCTTTCTCTGAGATTGTTTCGCTAACGGTCGGGTTCCTAATTCCGGTTTCCTTAACGAGTCTAAACAATTGTCTGCTATTACCTATTGCCGCTGCCTTTTCCATCTCTCTTGCTTTCGCTACCCACCACTGTTCACGATCATTGCGTAGACTTCTTGTCAGCTTGCGCTTAAGCTGACGCGGAAAGTTGGGGTACTGTACACAAGAGTCTAGTCTCTGTATTCAGAAAGATTGTAGGCTAAGATGAAAGATTTGAAAGTTTGCAATTAAAATGACCCAATTAATAGTGGAGCTTTAGTTGTCATGTGTGTACCCCTTATTACGTTAAAAGACCAGATGTGACCTTACTATACTGTTTAGATGAATTAGTAATAATTTTGAAGTCATGTTTTTTCTGACTTTCCGTATTATCAAATCAATGACAACAAACACCCTCAGCTTTAACGACCGTTATTACCCGGGTTTATTACAAAGTATTCTATAGAGACAAAGACACAGGTAAATTGTTCAGACTATAATAGCTCAAGGTATCTGACATTAGTCAAACGCTGTACATCTCCACCTCGATATGTATAAGCTCCTCTCATAAACACATAACTGGGTACTCAAAATAAACACGACATCTACCTCTGTTAGTTATATCCTAACGGCTGACTTGTACCTGGTTGCTCACTTACTCGTATACATCTGTAATATACTTATGCCTCTATGGTTATTTGCCTATCTACTAGTATTATTCTACTATTTTGCTAATCTATAAACAATCGATAGATGTTGGTTGACACCGGATATATTTTGGCACAACATAGGTTGGAATTGTCCACAGCAACCTCGAATTCACTTAATTAAAAACAATTGTAAGGTATAAGAACTCCAACACAACTACTGAACATTCCAGTGTCAATGTATTTTCTATTTTAATAGATCCAGGTTATTACAGTGTCGACATTAATCCAATACGATGACAAAGGCGTAGCTTTGGAGCTAATCTACTGTTGTTATTACTTTGGATAAATCGTGTTTATGTAGTCTCATCAAGATTTGAGTCTGAATTTTTCACTATAGTTTCGGTTGATTTTAATACTAAAATACATACTCAAAAATACTACTACCCGAGTTCTCATTTCATCTTTTGATCATTAGCCACTAAAGTCAACAAGAACAATGGTGAACTTTTGAGCTTCAGGGATTTCTAAGTACTGATAATAACAACAACAAACTTACGATACTGTCATGTTGCTCCGCAAAATTAAAGGACGCGCCGCATGTGAGTACAGGGACTTCGTACTTGTTAAGAATTCACCTTGCTTTTGTGTATTTATTGCATGAAAGGAAACTGGCTTAACTTCGGCTCGAACTGTTTCGGCTAAGGTTTGGGATTTTTACAAGTCAGTTTTGTGGTACTCTATATGTTATTAGTTAATGGTGACAACTATTAGGGTGATCTTATCCGCAACGCAACCATGTAAACTTAATGTATCGCACACTGTCATTTGTGCGTTCAAGTAACCACAGATTGTGTCATTTCATAATGTATTTTTTATTAAATAACTAGATTATGTAGTTAATTTTTCTCTGTTTTTAATTTTTATTCGCCACGTCCGACTGCGTTACACTGTACGTCCATTGCACGCTGAGATGATATCTCAAGTCATAGTGAGTTTATTCACATAGTTGATTGTTTCCAGATAGACTGTCAGTGCATGATTTTACTGAAGAAATGTATGTTGTACTGTAAACTGTGTTTCTATGATCAACTCCCTGTTGAAAAACTGAGTCTCTTAACTCTGTCCTATCGCAGACTAAGGAGAGATCTAATATTGATGCACAGTATACTGTGAATTGACTTCGGACCTAACTAATTCTCTCTCTTTCTTCCCACTAGATCGGAACATCTCAGAGAACATAGCAGGCGAGTAGAAAAGCCAAGAACGAACAAAATACCCGTGGCATAAAGGTTTACAAACTGAGGCATCAATACTTGGAACCTGCTGCCTGAAGCAGTGGTGTCCACAAATTGAATTGAATCTTTCAAAAGAAGACTGGACACTCACTGAAGCATACTAGAAAAGGAATAACATAAGCCATAGGCCCTCTGTCCTTACTGAAAAATCTGAATCTTCCGTAAATTTTCCTGTCGTTGAGTGATGTAAGGAGTTGGATCTCTGCTGCAGTGGTAATAGGAGCCGGATCGAGTCGCAACCACATCAAAACTGTTGACAATCACTCGAGTCACACCATAACCATCAGGTGACACTGTACATATTCTCACAGCGTTCCGTGTCTCTTGAAAACTTGGTGCAATGCACAACACCGACCAGTGACAGTGCCTTACCTAGTCCCATTCACAGACAACATGGTCTCACAGTATGGTACTACTGTGATGTATGGTGATGAGTGATTAAGTGAGACGATGAGTGAGTGAGTGAGTGAGTGAGTGAGAATGAGATGGTTCCGATCAGGTGTTGTGACTGTGTGATCTGATTCGATGTTGATAGTGCATGTGGATGTGGATGTGAATGTGCCTATGCATATGCGTGAGTGTCTGTGTGGACTGCGTATTGTATTGTGTATAGTTTTAGTAAGCCCATTGAACTATGGTATTACTTATCTACTCATTGTAATTTAGACACTTAATCCACTATGTAAACTTCTGTGTGAGTCTGACTGTGTGCGTGTCTGCACATCAATCAATCTGTAATCTATTCTCCCATTGGTTGTAAGTCACAGGTAATCAATAATTGGTCCATATTCGTTTAACACTCATTAATATATACATGGATTTTTAACACGCATACTCAGTTGTTGGTGATTTCCCCTTGTGGCTTGTGGATTATTTTTAGCTGATGTTTAATAATAAACGATGTCTATAACTGGTGTTGTTCAGGCTGGTGCACGAAATCCCTGCTATACCAGAATTTAAGGTGTAGAAAAGGTGAGACAGCGACTTAGCTTACTGAGTAGTTATTTTTACGTTATTAGCGTGGATGATGTTCAAACACTATAGGTATTGAACCTGACAGAAATGACAAGTTTTACAATGGAAGTTGTACTATTATCTCAGTTTGGTAGAGAAGTTACTTGTTACGTATGGAGTGTCATGATAAACTGGAAATCACTTGTTTTTTTTCTTTTTCAGTTTATTATATTTTCCGGCTAATCAAATATCAAATGTGATTATCTGTTCTCTGTGCCATAACACCATCAGATCCACCCAGGTGTCTCTCCATTTCGCTTAGTTCAGCTTGAGCATGTGACAGGTATTCAGTGTTTGACAACGCTTCTACCAGTAACACCTTCTAATGTATTTCGTTCCCACCCAGAGAAATCAAAAGACAGAGTCGAGGAGATCGGAAGAGTGTATTTGGCGATAACCAATATATCGGAATTCTCTGATCTAATCTGGCTAGCGATTGCGGTTGACGTTGAGCACGGCGTTACCACACGTGATCTGGTGCGGATGCATGACCGAGCGCCTTCAGCTAGATGAGTCCACTAAAACATATGGTCAGCATCCATTGTCGAAAATTTAGTGCTATTTATTTTGGGGATTTATTTACCGCTACAGATCACTCCCCCCCTAGTGGGGCAGTGACGACCCTAAGACGTGGCCAGCCAGAAGTTTAAACCCAACGAGTTTGTCGTTGGTAAACACTCTTCTGATAGCTTACTAAGTGTAGCAGCGTCTGGTCGTCTTTCCTTACTATATGGGACGGGGGTACAACATAGTAAAAAAAGAAAATGTACAATGAAAATTTCGGATCCTCATAAGCGTCATCGTTCTTTTCCAGCCGTCCTGGAAAGGAAAAAAGAAAATGTAAGTGCATGTCGAAATACACTCGTATGTGCGTAAAAACACAATATCGGCGGAGAAAAAATGGAAAATAAACTCAAGCACACGTAATAGCATTGAAAAAATAATTTTTTTGTTGTTTGTTTTTTGTTTTTAATAAAAATATAAATATATAAGCATATTAAAATTTTTTTTAAAAATATTATATATCGTAAAAAGAAAAATCGAGATAATATAAAATGTCGAGTAGTGCCTTACGTGCAGTAGTCGTTTAAATGTTCTGGAAATCTTACTCTTCTTCCAGAACGCGTCGTTTCAGGTTTATTTTCAGACACATTCGGAGTATCATCGCTAGTATTGGTTGTCGGTTGAGGAATTATCAGTGTAGGAGTCGTGTTGTGCGATTGTACCGAAGGAAAATCCACGTAGATAGGATTTCCTTCTAAATACGCTGCTTTTAAGCGATCGATGCTGATGCTATCGTTGGTTCCGTTCTTATCGACTATATAGTACTTAGATTCACGTTGAAGAACTTTGAAGGGTCCTTCGTATGCTGATTCGAATGGTCGTCGATGCAAGTCTCGACGAATGAGATGTGTTTCTCTGTCCGGACTTGCGATTAGACAGTCATCAACATACGCATGTACGAAGTTGAGACCTCGAAAAACATCGTCTATGAATCTTTGGCGTGTTTGAGCAGCATTCCTTAGACCGAAATGCATTCGCAAAAATTCATAGAGTCCGAAAGTAGTTATGATAGCTGTTTTCGGTATGTCGTCAGTAGCCATAGGGGTTTGGTTATACGCTTTAACCAAGTCGATTTTCGAAAAGACAGTTGTACCTTTCAAGGTAGCTGTCAAATCGTGAATGTGAGGCAACGAGTAACGATCGGGAATGGTTTTCGCGTTCAATCGCCGATAGTCACCAGTTGGACGCCAATCGTTGCTGTCCTTTTTAGGGACCATGTGCAACGGAGATGCATATGGGCTACTTGACGGTCGTATGATTCCTAAGTCCATCATGTGATCGAATTCGTTTTTCGCTAACCTTAGCTTTTCGGGAGCTAGTCGTCGTGCTTTAGAGAATACAGGTGGTCCTGTAGTCGTGATGTGATGTGTAACATTGCTGGTTACACACGGTAGTTTCGGTTGAGTTTGTTGTATCCCAGGGTACTTATCGAGTAGTGGCTGATAGAGTGGGTCTATCATGTTTAACTGTGACTGGGGATACTCTGCAACCAGTAAAAGAAGTTACGCAAACGGATAAATTAGTGTTTCCGTCTACTAGCCTCCGTTAGTGCGTATCGATGATCAGATTGTGGTGTTGTAGAAGGTCCATACCAATGATTGGCATAGAAACATCTGCAACAACGAAAATCCAGTGAATGCGTTTGCGTAAACCCACGTTAAGGTAAACGTACCTTTTGCCATACGTAGCGATCGGTTTTCCGTTTGCTGCCTGTAAGTTTAGGGTCGATTCGTGTAGTCGGTGGTTAGGATTTGCTGGGAGAACACTAACTTCTGCGCCAGTGTCGACGAGGTAGCGAACTCTCGTTGTCACATCTGTGACGAATAACAGACGGCTTTGTTCGCCGGCTACGGTTGCCGTTAACGCGTGCCGGCTTGGAAGTTTCCCGAGTTGTTCTTCGAGTCACTCGGTTTCGTGTTGGGAAAATTGCAGGGTTTCTGCAATTTCTGGAAAGCTTTCCATACTGGTTATGATACCAGCACCAGTCGCTTACGAGAAATGCTTCTACGTGGAATGCGCGAGCGACTACGGTCGGTACGAAGATTAAGATAACGCGTGAGTGTACGACATAACTCGATTATGTCATTCTGACTCGTTTGAGGCTTTTCTTTGACTGAAAATACCTCGGTAGTAGAAGGTTTCGTAATTTCTAAAATGCAGTCGGCAGATACAGCTAGCTCGTCTAAGGCGTTGTTCTGGAACGAGACCAGAACTGCTTGCACCTGTTGGGGAAGTTTTGACAAGAAGAGTTGTTTGAATAGACCTTCGTCGAAAGTTCTTGGGCCTATTACCTCTCTCATCCGTTGCAACATGTCCGTCGCAGAACCGTGTTGCAGGTCGATGTTATTGAAGAGTTGATCTAACCTTTGTCGATCGGTTAGGTCTCCTCGTTTAAGAATAGAACGTTTCAAGATTTCGTAAGGATCGGAAACATCACTAGTAAACATACCAAATGTTACATACCTGTTGAATTCGCGCGATAGTGCATTGACTACTGCGAGGACGGTGGAGAAGATTTGTAGCACAGGTGGATGATTTTGGTGGTGTTTTGTTCTCTGAGCTGGATGGTTTGGTCGTGGAGCTTTCATCGTTCTTCTGAACGACATCATCAGCACAAACTTCAGATAGAAGTGAAGTGTTCGAATTTCTCCATATGTGTTTCACAGCTTGTTCTGTGCAACTCGATGTTGATTGGTTCTTGCTGACCTTAAATTTATCATTGTTTACTTCTTTGTTTTGGTTGTGTCTCCCATTGGTTTGATTTTTGTTCCCATATTTATGCATGATTTTCCTGATTGGTTGATAAATTGGATTGATTTCAATATGTTTGTTGATTGCTGATTGACCTGAGTGCCAAGCTTCTAAAAATTCTCTGGTGTTTTTGGAGTTTCCTCTGTCTAAGATTTCTACATTTTCCCAATCGAATGATTGTCCGTAGTTATCCACGTGTATTGATATAAGTGAAGAGATATCATGGCGTTT